AGCAAAACAAAATACAAGGACATTTCAAGAGTGCCAGGTAGACTCAACAGCTCTGGGAACCAATTTCTACATCACTTTTTTGGGGGGTTTCTGGGCACTACATTTCAAGAAAGATGTGGAGAAATTGGAGAAGGTCCAGAGAAGGGCAACAGGAATGATTAAAAGTCTAGAGAAGATGACCTATGAAGGAAAACGGAAAGAACTGGTCTTGTTTAGTTTGGAAAAGAGAAGACTGAGAAGGGACATGATAGTGGTTTTCAGGTATCTAAAAGAGTGTCACAAGGAGGAGGGAGAAAAATTGTTCTGCTTAGCCTCTGAGGATAGGACAAGAAGCAATGGGCTTAAACTTGCAGCAAGGGAGTTTTAGGTTGGACATTAGGAAAAACTTCCTAACTGTGAGGGTGGTTAAACACTGGAATAAGTTGCCTAGGGAGGTTGTAGAATCTCCATCTCTGGAGATATTTAAGAGCAGGTCCCTTCCAGTTCTAGTGTTATATGATTCTATGATTTACATATTCTGCATATTACAGGATTTATATTGTGATGGTGAGTGTTGTTACTGTGGAACTGAGGGCCTCATTTACATCTACAGAGCTTTTCATCTTCCTGTGTCTATCTGCTGGACTCCCACTTTATCCTTGTGAAATTTTGAGAATTTAAACTAGCAGCTAAGACTTATCTTTCTTTCTCTGAATATTTCTACAACTTCTTGGTGTGGAGGTGGTATATTCAGGGATTTTGCATAGCAAACTGGCAGTCAGGATGGCACTTGTGAAAATACAAGGCTTGCATGGCCAGAGGGCAGTTTTCTTGTAGTTCAGGAGTGAAATTCTGGATCCACTGAAATCAATGGTGTGGCAGGGTCAGGCTCAGTCCAGCCCCGCTGACCCCCGCCTTCAGTCCCTCTCCATCTGTGTCCCTGCTGCTGCACCGCGGCCACTTTACTGTCCCGATCGGCCCGTTGGCTCGGCCGTTCCCCGCTCTGGTCCCTGGGCCATCAGTGTCCTGGCTCGGCTCGGCCGGCCCGTCCGCCGGGGGCCACGTCGCTTCTCGGCCCTCCCGAGGGCGTTCCCCTCCCTGGACCCTAGAGTCTGTCCCCTGCGGCCCATCCCCTGCTGCACCTGTGCTGCCGGCACCCTGCTCGCTGTTTGCAGAGGCAGCGGCAGCGGCACTCACAGGGTCGGGAGTTGCCGGACAGCAGGGGTAAGTGCAGGGAATGGTTTCCCCACCAAAAAATGGCAAAACTTCCATTGACTCCACTGAGGTCTGGATTTCATCTTGGATCTAAAATTTATATGTGGCAGAAGAGAGCCATTGAAATGGAAGTGGAAGATATACAATGAAAAGGAAACATAGTAATTGAAGAGAGAAATCTAGCAGGGTACCTGAGGGCTATTATTGGGCTAACTCAGTGGTTCTGAATCTGTGGTCTATGGAATCCTGAGGGTCTGTGAGGGCACTACAGGGGGTCCACAGAATGTTTTTAAAAGTTAATTTTGGGCCCGCTGCGGTGGGTCCGATCCTAACTTTTCTTTTCTTCTCCCCCTCCACTCCCAGAGCGAGGGTGGCAACAACTGTGCACACCGGGAAGCAGCTTGCTTTTAATCCTGTTCTCTGGAAGCTAAGCGAGCATGGGGAAAGTGCTTGCATTCTGTGCATGCCTCACGCCTGGTTGGTGTGTGAGGCATGCACGGGAAGCAAGCACTTTCCCTTCGCTTCCTTAGTGTCCAGAGAACAGGATCAAAAGCAAGCCGCAACCCAGAGCCCTGCGCTCCCGAAGTTCCGCCCTTAGGAGCTGGAAGCTCCAGAGCTCCCTTTGACCATGAGAGTCCCGTCACTTTGTGGATGGGCAGAGGACAGAGGGGACAGGAACTGATGAAACAGTGCAGGCAAACAGTAGCCAATGGGACCTGAGAAGCTCTGTGTCCTGCAGTCTGCATGTCCCTCAGCCCACTCTGAAATTGACAAGCTGTGTCTGTACTCTGGAGTTGGCTTATAAAATGGGTCAGTATTACTTTTTACCATTTTTTCTCTTTTTTGAATACGTCACCCTGCTCTAACTGTTCAAAAGCTATTAGAGTGGCGGGAAGGGTTTACTTGGACTAGCAAAAATGGATCGCTTCGGGGGGGGCCATGAAATTTTAATAGATTGAAAAGGGGTCCGTATACTCAAAAAGATTGGGAACCACAAGGCAAACTAGTTATGTATATATAAACTTTGGCAAGATACATATTTCCTTAATATAGGGAATATCTGAAAATGTTGTAAATATTAAGATAATCATATTTGTTTATCTCAGACACTTAGGAAGTTCTTAAGATGTTCATTTGAAATCAAACTAGCAATCAGTTAACAGTAAAATGAGCTAAAGTTCCTGATGATATGTACATGGTGGGCTGGTAAATTGCATGGAGCAAAACAGTTTCATAAAGGTTGGACTATTCAAGGCTTGAACTCATGCATGTTGAGGATGATTAAGTATCAGAGGGGTAGCCATGTTAGTTTGGATCTGCAAAAGCGACAAGGAGTCCTGTGGCACCTTATAGTCTAACAGATGTATTGGAGCATAAGCTTTCGTGGGCAAAGACCCACTTCGTCAGATGCCCGTAGTGGAAATTTCCAGAGGCAGGTATAAATATGCAGGCTAGAGATAACAAGGTTTATGTATACCTGTCTCTGGGAATTTCCACTACATGCATCTAACGAAGTGGGTCTTTGCCCACAAAAGCTTATGCTCCAATACATCTGTTAGACTATAAGGTGCCACAGGACTCCTTGTTGCTTTTGAGGATAATTAAAAGACTCTCATTGACTTTAGTGGGTTTTGGATCTGATTATAAATATGCAGCTCATGCAAATCAATGTAGGAAAGAACTAAGAAATGTCAAGTCTGTTGTGGGACTCAATTTATTTTAGATCCTAGGGAAACCAGAACACTTTACCACTTTCTTATTTATTCCAAGCAGGTAATACAGTTACATAAGGCAGGTATGTACAAGCCTTAAAAACAATTACTATACAATTTAAACTTTAAATTCTATAAATTCTAAAGCAATTAATAGAAAATCTACTATAATACAATAAAAAGCCTAGTTCACTTATGTAAAACCACAGGGGTATGGATTTGCTTCGACACAGAGCCTCCAGTGATTAGGAATACTTTATTAATATTGCTAAGTTATTGCTATTACAAAGTGATGCATTAGAAATCATATGTGGAGCAAAGCAGATAGGAGTTAAAGGTATATGGCATGCTTACATCCCTTGTACTACGGGAAGTCCCATCCCCGTTGTCCTCTCGCTTCAAGGGCCACAGTGGATGTGACTCCAGCTAGGGAAGGTCCGGGCATCCTCGAGGTCTGGGTCCCTGGTGAGACTTCCCGTGCATGGGACCCACCAATGCCTTTGTACCCCAGCTGTTTCCCGGGTGAGCACATACTGGCTCAATGCCATTCTTATCACTCTTACGAGCTGAGACGGAGGTCAAACTTGTTTACCACTTAGCAATTTCCCAGCTCATGTGCATGGGCTAAAGCTGATAAGGGCCAGCTGGTGTTTCAGGTTCCAGGAATGAAATATAGGGCTGGGAATTTCCATCCTCAGTTCTCAGACCTGTGGGCCCACTTCCAGATTATACTACATAATCTCAAGAGGCCACCTGAGGATATGTCTTTACTACCAAGTTTTCTTGACAAAACTTATGTTGACACCCAAAAGCCGGCAAAACAAAAATCGCCAGAGGGCGTTCACACTTGCTCTCTATGTAAACAGATCATGTCCATATTGGGGGCACCATCATTGACAGTGTGAGTGGTGCCCTTTGGGTATGTATCCCACAATGCAGTGTTATTGGAAGGCAGATCTGATCCCTGAACTTTTTGGGATTCCCTCTGAGTTGTCCCACAGCATTCTTAGCTGCTGAGAGCAGTATCATAAGTAGCTCTGTGAGCTCTCTGTGTTGAGGAATGTCAAAGCAGCTCTGTGTCTGTTCCCCTCTCCTTGGAGTAGCAGTTTGCTTGTGGCTGTGTTCCTAGCAGGGCGGATCAGGGGCATTTCCCGATTTTTCTTGTTAGTTTCCCAAACAGTACTGTTTCATAATTCCTGGAGCTTTGAAAAGAGAGGGGCACAAGCCTGCAGGGCAGCAGAGATCAAAACACTGAGCATAGCCATCAGGGCAGGCATTGTGGGATACTAGTGGAAGCCAGTCCTGTTGACAAAACAAACAGCAGACTTTACACAGGTTCTTTGTCAACAGTAAAGGGAGGAGGATAGAAAAAAGTCTTGTGGGGGTGGAATTTTTTTGTCACCAAATCTGGGTTTTTTTCCCCAACAAAAGTCCCATTGGAGTGTAATTGCTCTCACTGTTTTGTAGACAAAATGCTTTTGGTGACAAAATGTGGTAGTGTAGACAAAACCTGTCAGACAACTGATTAGGTAGAGAGACCTAAGGCAGATTGTGGATGCTCTGAAACCATCTGCACAGGATTTAGGAACTAAAAAACAAGGCAAAACAAGGTTCTCTCCATGTGTAAATACTGAAAATACTGAACACCAGTTATCAATTATTCTGGCATTAACTAAGGCACCAATGAGAACACGTTTGGAATATTGTTGCAAGCATTCTAGTTACCATTTTACTAAGAGGAAA